GGCCGGGGCCGGGGCCGGGCCGCCCTCTGCAGCCACCTTGCCGCGGCGCAGTCCTTGGGGACGCGCTTGCCTGTGGCCCTCTCCGCGGCGTCAAGCCAGGTGCTGCCGCGTACTGCCTGTAATTATTACAATACGCTGGGATTATTAGGAGGTATCACTGGGGTCTTCTTGGAAATGCTGGGGTTATTGGCCTAGTCAAGACCGAACGTTTTCGTCGATGTCTCGCTGTGGCTGCTGTTAGGGATGGGAAGAAGGAGGCCTCAGGAGTATTAGCAGTTAGCAGGTTGTGTCCCAAGAAGGCAAGAGAACAGCTCACCCCTCAGAGAGAAGAGTGATCATAAAGCAGTGTTTATCTAACAGACCTTTTGTGCTCTTTTACAGAACCACAGTTGGGTCCCGCTTGGCAGCAAAGGTATGGTTGTGTTATATTCTGGGTGTTAGGTGCTTATTACCACTTCTTTGAATAGGATTTCTTCTTTTTTCTTGCTGCTTCTGGCAGCCTGCAGTTCACAAATAGCTAGTACTAATATACGGCACAAGAATGGCAATTTATCAGGTTAGTCTGTCCGTTCCCACTAAATTGGGCTTGGGTGGCTATCACCAATGTAGTGTAGCCTAAATCGACTTAACAACCATTATGCATGAACTGTTGCTGTTTCTTACTAAGCTTACTTTGTAGTTAGGGTAAGCATCGTTGCATAAATGGTGATTCATACTGTGGTGCAAGAGACCTGTAATTCTTTAAACGTGTTGATAAACTCCGGGATTCTTATCAGCTAATCTGGTTTGGGGGAATGATCCTTTTGGTTTTTTTTCCCTCCTTAGTTGGGATGGAAATTCTACGATGCAGATGATTATCATTCTCCGGAGAACAAAAAGAAGATGGCGGAAGGAATACCACTAAATGATGAGGTAACTTGTATAAATCCCAAAAGAATAGCCACCAACATGTTTTTCTTCATAAGCTCTGACAAATCACGTTATGGTACGTTGTGCTTTATCTAAGGTAGGCTGACTGTAAATAGACACTGAATTTGTAGGAGTGCAGCTGGGAAGAGAGGGAGGATTTTTACATAACAAAGAAGTATGCATTGAAAGAGTAAAGGCTATTAAATTATACTTGGTGGTTCACAAGCAGTTAAATTCTGAACTGGCATCTATCAGAAATCTATCTGTCTGGGTCAACATACAGAACTGCAGCTTCAGATTACATGTTTTACTTCGAATTAAATACACTGAGACGAACTTTTTTCCTGGAAGTACATTTCGCCACTCTCAATTGCTACAGTAATTACTCCATAATTTTCCATTTTATTCAAACTCACTTAAAATGAGCTTCCTTTCCTTTAGCCCGCTGTTCAACCCAAACAGATCAGATTGATCAAGCTTACTTGTTTATAAGTAGTACTACTTACAAAGTTACAGACATAAGTAAATTACAAAAATTACAAGAAAACACCTTTTGAACTTTTTCTGGGAAATGCCTACAAATGTAAGGTTAAACTAGGGTGCTAGCTATGGACCGAAAAAAAATATTCTAGATTCCTATTAAAAATTTTTGTCTTTCATTAATGGTTGGAAGTTCATATAAGGCAGCGTCGTCTCTTTTAAAGCAGCGTTGCAGAATTGAATGACTAAACCATTCTTCATTGGCATATGATGCCAAGCAGGAAGGAAGTAGCTCTTCTGACACATGAGCAATGCAAAATTGTGAGGGCCTTCTTGAATGGCATTGGGAAGTTGTTCTATAATGACAGTAGCAAAAAATTATTGCATTTATTTGTTCACGTTGTTATTTGTTCCATTCCTCCACCAGTAATTGCATTAAAAGATGAAATGGGAGCAATGGTTTAATGCTCATGGGTATGAAAAAAGATACTAAAGTTTAAAGCTTAAAATTAAATTATATTGAGAATCTGATCAACCACTTGCATTTTCAAACTCTATTGAGCAAAGTCGTTGCAAAATGTGGCTATGATTGCATTTATCTGCGATTGTTACTGATATAAAAGTGTTATGATAGATCCAAATGTACTTATCTGCAACAAATCAATCTTGATACCTTGGAGTAGTTCCTGAAAGCCTCAGCTTTGATCCAAAGCATTACCTGAGTATCCCAAGGTGCAAGGAAAAAGAAATAACAATTCAACCTGTGTAAGCAGCTATCTTAGAACAGACTTAGCATGAGAGTTGTTAAGAGGCAACAGATAATTTGACTGTTCTTCAAAAGATTTACAAGGCACGTGCGATGCATGAGTACGTGTTACTTCCATCAGATAGTTCTAGGCCTTTGTAATATAAAAAGTACTATTCCGCTAAAAACCTCTTATTGATAAAAAGCCTAGCGCATCTTCTTAGCCTTAAAGCAATGGTAGCAGATACAAAACTGAACTTGCTCTGCATTATAATACTAACTTTCATCTCTAGTCAGATGTTCTTAGTGTTAGAAATGCTTGTTTCAAATCAATTTCATAAACAATTTTGAGCTAACTTGTGGGGTTTTTTTTGTCTGCATTGTTTTTTAGGACAGGATTCCGTGGCTTTATGCACTGCATGATATATTAAGGAGGTAAGACAACCTCTGTCTTTAACGAGTTCTAGCTAAACAAAACCAAGTATTTTCCCCGTTGCATTCCAATGCAGAAATGTATGTGGTAGTATAAAAGTATTCTGCAGCTAGTAAAGCCATTCTGTTTTCTAACTTATCTGAGGTATCATAATAATTGTCAAAGGTGCGCTAACTCCTGAATAATAATGCTGGGAAAGCTAATGGCAATGATAGTTTTGTTCTGCTGTCTGTGTTAAGAACTTAATATTTCAAAAATCTAGTTCAATAATAAATGTGACATTAGCTGCTTCCAGAGGGCATAACCACAGAATACACTGGTAACGAATTTAGGATAGCATTTTTCTAAACTGTTACTAGTTTCAGTGAAATACAGTCCAAAATTATTAGGCATTTTGAATCTCTCTTTAGAAATGTTTGTTTTCAGAGATTTAAATCGGCTGACCAACTCATCGTTCAACCTTGTTATTAATTAATACATACTTCCTACGTAGTCCTACCTCAAATGTTCAGAAACAAGTAAGGATAATTCAAAGGAAGTTTTAGGAAACTTGTAAGTGAGAACAGTAAAACATGTAGCTTTAAGCTCAAATACTTTTGTTTTCAACCTGCTTTAATTTGGTATGTTATACTTAATACCCAGCATGCCCTCTTTGTAAAGAGGAATAAGAAGCAAGTTCCAAAGAGCTCAGGCATGCTCAAAATGCTGAATTTGTGTTCTGCGTTCTTGGCCACATCTTTTTCTGTTATCTTCAATATCAGACCTTCTCTTGATGTTTCTAGTGGTTGGGAGATGAAACTCACAAAATCTCTTCTTCTGTCTGTGCCATTGAAAAATGGCGGGAGGCTGCTGAACTGCTCAGCCTTAACCCTTGGGGGAATTCGATTCCTGTTCAGTAGCATCTAGGATCTGAAACTCGGAGATGGGGGAAGGTTCAGACTGGCAAAATACCTACCAAATGCCATGGAAGTGGACACCTGACACAGCTAATTAGAGCTATGACTCATCCCATTATGGCTCTCTAGTCACAACTGCTTTTCTGTGATGCTTCATTTCACCTCTTTGTACATGTATTGCAAACAGAAAGAGAAGGATCACAGTCAGTAAGTACCCTTTCCTTTTAGCTTGTTCCAAGTATGCTGTGTCACTTCTTGGATCCTGGGCTCCATTTAGGGATAGATGAAAGGAGAAGGAAGGAGAAGTAAGCTAGCCATCCTATGGCATCAGCTGCTTACCTCCCATGGTACCGCAAAAGTAATCTCAAAGGTTATTCTGCCAAAACTTCTCATCTAGCCCAGCTTCCCCTATATCTCCTGCTTCCCAAATTTCTTTCTCTGGCTTCACATGGCTGTTATTTGCACATGCACATCAGGTAATTGTACCTTGTTTAAGTGTTGGTTAATTTACTGAGGAATTTATCCGGCTTGTTATGTCCAGATGTGATCTGTTGCTTTCTGTGACATGCCTGCCCAAGGCAGCTCCAAGAACTTTGCAATATCAAGTATACTTTAACAGTGCCTGGTGTCAAGCTACTTGTAAGTAGCTGAGATTGGCATGGACTCACCTAGATGATAACAATAGGTATTACAAGTTCTCCTTTCTTTGGTTGAGGAATGCGGCATGTTTGTTAAATACACCTAATTTTAATTTGATTAGAGAATGTATTTTCTTGTGCAGACATTATAGTCACTCTGATTTGTAAAGACAAAACTAATGCTACATTTGCTTTTTTGGTGCAAAACACCACCCCCACAACTTAATGCTTTTAAGTCTATATTTTAAGAAACCTTGTCATTAAAAAAAATGTGCACAGAGTATTAATTAAACTTTGTGCAATCCCTTGTATTGCTTGAAGTGAACACATCTGCGTTGTTCCCAGTAATTACGGTTACAGCAAACAATTAAGTTAAATCTGAAACAATGAACATGGGAGTTGAAAATACACCTGAATATACATTCAAGAACAGAGCTTTGTTTTGTTCAGCTGCTGCTTACTCTCTAGACAGGTTCGTATCTTCATTTTTTTTTTTTTTTTTAGATGATGGATGGGAGTTTCTAAGGATATTCAGTTGCTGCTTTTCTCAGCAATTACGGACGTATTCAGGGCACTTCCTTATACTACATTAGAATCTAATTTGAATGAAAGAATGATGGCTAATATAGAGCACCCTAAGATAAAAATTTTGGCGGGAGAGTGGCTAGTTTCATCTCACTTTCAAATCTTGTTCTTACCTGCCTTATCAATTTGATTTCAAAATCCTGTCAAAATAACAAAACATGCTAGTACCTCTGAAGCTATTCTCTGCAAGGAACCAGGAGTTGTCTGCTACAGAGACAGCATGGAGTAGCTGCTATTTTAATACACGAAGTGTGGATGTGTTTTGTTTTGTTTTTTTTTTTTCTTCTTCTTGGTAGAGAAGAATCGTCTAAGCAAGATGCAGTTCTGGCCTGTTCTGCACTGAAGAAAATGTACAGATGTGTATTAGTTAGTGGAGCATCAGCACTTGAAAGCAACCAGCCAGAGAACCCAGGAGAAAATGCAGCACTGAAGATCCTCTTTGTTCATTTGGATGGGCCTATAGATCTCATTGCTCCTCGCCTGGAGAAGAGGAGAGGACATTTTATGCCACCTGAATTATTCAAGTCTCAATTTGATACTCTGGAGCCTCCTAGAGCACCAGAAAACTTTATTACTGTCAGTGTAGAAAAATCTCTTCCCAAAATAGTGCTGGAAATTGAGAAAGCAATTTTTTCAGGGTGAGGCTTTTTCAGGAGTTGTTTCTAAATTATATATACAGAGACTCTCTCAAGCATATTAAAGTTGTGAAACAGCATTTTAATTATTTTAAGTTAACCAGAACAACTTACTTTTCCCAATACTTAAATGGAGGTGGTATCCCAAGCTAATTTATTACTTTCGATATTTTTATCATGGCTCTGTAAAGGCTATATAACATGGATCTTTCACAATCCATCAACGTTGTTTAAGATCTTTTCCATATGGAGTTAAAATTCCCATTAGTACGGGTGAAAGTGGAGCCACCGAAGCACAGCCTGCTTTTGAAAATCCCATAAAGAGTTACACAGTAATTGAAATTCTCATTTTTCTATTTTTACTTTGTCAAACCTGGAGGGGGAGAGCATATCTGCCAGTGAGTGATGAAATAATTAACAGCTTTGTAAAAAAGCTGTGTATTTATTTTTCTACAAATATAAAAGGCAGGAACTTGAATGATGAAGTTCTGTCGGATCTTGAACAAGTTGTAGCTTCCACATTTGTGTCCTTAGCAACCCCACAAAGGTGCTGAGACTCTCTGAGCTCATTATCTGCACAGCAGCTGAAAAAAGAGGGAGGGGGGAAAAGGTGGTGGTGGAAAAATGGTACACAAAATACAATTCTCTGGAAAGTTTTGGAAATAAAATGAAAGGGGCATGATACTGGCTTTGAATTAGCATTCATCATATGCAAAGCGTACCCATTGATAAAAGCAAGCGGAAAGTGAGTCAGCCAGTTAAGGTAAGATAGTGATCACAGGACTGATGGATATATCCTCCTTTTAAAACCTAACTGTCGTTCTTTCAGAGCTGGACTTTCTCTTTCACTTCCCTCTTCTGGCATGCTTTACTCTTCCACCGAAGCCTATAATATGCCCAGTCCGTTATATGCTTATGGATAGGTTTTCATACAACTACTTTAAAATTTGAGATCAAACTGTTTCTAATATACTTGTTCGGTTTTTTTTCTCTGATCAGGAAATGCCTGAATATAGTCACAGAATTGAAAGTTTAAATCCTCTTTTTTTATTGCCAATTTTTAAAAATTCTTTTTTCCCCTGTTACAGAAGAGATGCCTCTTATCTGCAGAGTTTCCATAAAGTTAATTTCTGTTGGAAAGATTCCACCACAAGTTAGACTGAACAGAATCATCCCTGTGTGCAGTTGCACATGAATTACTATTTAGTGTTCTCATGCAAATTTGTGATTTTTAAGGGGACCACTTAGTGCCTTTTCAAACAAAACTTGTGTTCTGAAGCATCTTTGGAGTAGTTTCTATTTAGATAACTAGTTGAAATATGGTCATCTTGTTTCTCATTTTGTAGTGGTAATAAGTGTTTTGTGATTTACCAGGTATTACCCACTGTGCTTAGGCCTGTATTATATGTGAATGTAATCTGACTGAAACCAAACATGCTGGATTCAGATTCAGGATTGTAAACGCACTCACTGAGAAGTGGTCTTTCCCTTTTCGTTTGACCTGGAGGAAAAATATCAGGCAGTTAGCAGTTTTACCATGTGTAGTTGCAGATTACGGCAGCACTGGGAAGAAAAGCCTCAATTCATTCCGAGTTGATTTCTGCACGCTTGTGGTTGATCTGAGGAACAGCCAGGGTGAAGGGGGAGACGGAGGCAAAGTTCAGTACAATAAAGTGAAGCGGCTGCACTTCTTAACACCCTCAAAATTCAGAGACTGTAGCTATTCAGACAAATTCACTGATCGGAGCTGTAACAATGTTTAGTCACTATGAAAATTAAAGAAATTGCACCCCCTTGTGGTACTATCATTTTTAATGACGCCTTCATATTTTCCCAATATACTATTTTACAAGAAAACAGCATTTCTACTATGCCCACTATTAAATGCAGATTTATGCTCACTTTTTTTCAGACACAAACTAAAGAATTCAGGACTTCTTAACAGTGATGGGAAAGCAGCTGCATTCCGTCGCAGAACAGAGGATCAGGCAGAAGATGCAATTTCAGTCCCTCATAACTAAAAGAAACTGGGCAATATTTTTTAAGTAGGAGGATCTTAAAAGCTAAATTTTTTGCCTGCGTAGCAGAGCCCTTACTTTCAGATCCATGTGTACTTACATCATGCTCACAAATTGGCTGGCATTAACAGGAGATCATGCTCACCACTTAAAAATCACTCCTCTCATGGGGAAGTCTGTTTAGGCACCTTAGCTTGGAAGTCTCTCTTTTTTTAAACAAAACAGTACCTTCTTAAAGACTCTTCATACTTTATTCCTTCAGGTTCAGCTTTGATATGCCTCTTCTCCAATGACAGGAATATTTCCTTCTCTTAAATGTATATGCCTTTTGCTTGAACTTAAAGCAAAACAAAACATTACCAGTTCAAATAATGAGAGGAAAAGTCAAAAAAAATCAACCATTTAAATAATATGCCTTAAACATTATGAATGTCAGGTACAGATTTGCCATTGTAATTCAGTACTTTAACCTGTTATATATCCTCTCTGTGCTTTCCCTCCAGCCTCCTCCTGCTTCCTTTTCATTTAGAAAAGGAAGTTTGCAAGACTCTTTGGAAACAACTTCCCTTTGGCTCTGATGGTTGATTTATTTTCGCCAGCATGGGCACAGGCTTGCTCACATGTAAGGCTGCAGGAATGAATGCACAAATTGCTTGAAAGAATATATGAACTTGCATTTCCCAGGGCCATCAGTGGATCCCACCAGTCCTACAATTTGAGAGAGTCCAGAGACTACATATAGACGATTGTTCAAAAAAGTCTGTTACCCACTAATCTGAAAGACTGCTGTCTTTCAGCATCACTTTTCCTGCTCGTTTATCAAGAACAACAAAAAAAGACGCTAATCATCCAAATGCTAATTTCATACAGACAGCTCTGCTGAATGTAATGGGACCGTGCATATGCACATTGGAAGGAAAAGATCCCAGAACGCTATATATGTAAGTTTCATTCCCCTACCCAAGCAGGTTCCTGCAACATTTAGTTTACTTTTTTTTTTCTTTTTTAAATGACCTTGCATCCTACTAGGAATATGTTGTTGCAATTCAGTTAGGCAGGCAGGTTATTTATATTTTGTTCTTCTGATGCAAATTTTCTGCGTTTTGAAATACCGTGAAACCAGAAAAGACTAAGGAGGACACGTCTGGAGTTAGAAATTGCGTTTCCTACCTTGCCATGAGCATAATATTAGTACCTACAGAAGATACATGCACCATACCCCTCAAGAATGTGTGCTGAGGACAGTCTGTAATATGCTATGTAAATACTGTACCTACTACAAGAAATGTTTACAAAGGAGTAAACGTTTCATAACGCTTTACTGAGGAAATTAAAAATGAAAGGTAATTTCTAATAATGGTAGCCATTCCCAGATTAAACATGGGAAGGGTTGAGTCTTTAACTCAAGCTGCACCGAGTATCTATACAGGCAAAGGGTCCAACCCAGCTGCCTGCCATCTCAGCGCTAAACTGACACGGCTATTTTATTTTGCAGACGCACCATCAAGACAATTAGCCAGATCAAACAATTTACAAAACTAGCCATCTTGCGGATAAATTCCCAAGGGTACTTACCAGGGTTTGATGTGAATGTACAGATTATAAACCCTTTAAAATGGTAAAAAAAAAAAAAAAAAAAAAAAAAAAAACAACCCACTGAACAGTTAACTCTTCCTCACTTTCAACTTTTAGGTATTGGGGGGAGGGGGTTTCTTTTTGCAACAGTTACTATTACTTTCTTTAGCAGTAGCGTGATGACCTTCGGACCCAGGCAAGGCAGATCCTTTGAGATCATTTAGTCCAGTGTAGGGGGGAAAAGAGGGAAGCAAGGAAATAAAAAGACAAGTTTGAGGTACACATGCTCTTCTTCTGGTCCGAAATGCAAGCAGCAGACTTCAAATACAAGTTATTTAACTGCTCAGAGGTAACTATAAGATCGCTTCTGAAAGAAAGGGTAGATGAGACTTCCAGAAGAGAGAATTTTAAAGAGGGAAAGCAGAAGGGACAGTGAGTATCTGCTCAGAGAGCGCGAGCGAGCAAACAACAGGAAGGTTCTGATATGCCATTAAATCAACAAGTGTCATCTATCTTCTATTACTAAAGAGGCAATAAAAGCTTATCACTACCTACAGACCTTGTTCCACCTACTACCACTTTTAACATTATGGTGCTTTCTGACAAAAATTAAAGTTCTTCCTAGGCGAAAGATGTCTCAGTGTTTTACCATGTCTTATGAGAAAGCAAGTTGACAATAGTTACTGATAAATTAAATACTGATTATACCTTTATAAGTAAACTTAGCTCAAGATTCATTGCAGAATTTAGGTCAATCTTCATCTTTTATTAAATTTCAACAGACTGACTTCAAATACAGTGCTTCTTGGCTGGCGTGCAACTTAAGTACTTACATAGGCGAATTGGATGTTGTCTCAAAAGGATGTTCACTTAGGCTAGATTCAGTGTTTTCCTATCTTGGTACAGCCTGGTGATTTTTAAAATCACCATTAAAATCATCATTTAAAAATCACTCCTTTTTCCACACCTCACCCTTGGGTCTTTCATTTGACAGCAGCCTTTTTAGAAATTATGAGTTTTAGTCGTAAAAGGACCTGCCTTCTGAATGACCGGAGATCTCACTTTTTAAAACAACTTCCCTACAAAATGTCAAGTCAGGTTAGTTACTTTGAAGAGCCTAAGAGTAATTGTGAAAATAACTGTGAAAAGTTCTACTACAGAAACTACTTGCTGTCACTTCCCTAACACAACCTTGTACTCAGTGCAACAAATGCCACCTACCGAAACAGAATTCACTGTGAAGGTATGATCCCTTGCAGGTGAACTAGCTTCGGTCAAGAAACAAAAGTAATAATAATTTCCCACCCAAACTATAGGTATTTTAAAAGGCTTTGATCATATAAAACTTAACCTATCAGGAGATTCTCTTTCGATTTTTGTTTGCTTGTTTAATACTGTGCTGCTGCATCTATGAGACTTTGATCCAGAGGCAGAGGCCTGCCAAACAAGAGACTCTCTTGAACTTTTCCCAGTACTGTGCATCAGCAATATTTGAGCAATTTAGTTACTGCCAAAGTAGGTAACAAGGTTACTGAACAGTAAACACTTCAGTGAGAAGAATACAACACAGGTACTCTCCGAAAAAGCTGCATGCTTGGCTTTGTCAGGAGTTCTAACAATTGCACAGTATGTAAAAGACAATACATGCTCTGCATCCTCCTTTATATCCCAATATAATTTGCTTTAACCAATTAACAGCTTTGAGTCAGGACTGGTAAATTAAACCATTTGTAAGCAATGTTTTTTAGAGTAAACTGAATTTATCTTTGTACCATCGAAAGAAGATTGTTCACGTTAACTGTTTAATGCAATACAGCAATTAAATCAGAACATTCATACAACTACACTGACACCAAAGACCAAACAAGGCAGAGGCTATTCACTAATACACACAGCAGAATGCTTCATTTCACTGCCTCCACTTTATTTAAATCCATGGTCTCCAATATTATATGCCCCTTCCTCTCTCCCTTCCAATTGATAATTCAAGTATTGCTTACTAATCCTAGCCCCAAGTCAGTAAATATGCCCAGAAGTTACAGGGAGAGGCCAACCATAAAGCTGGTCAGTCATCTTGAATGCCAGGTAATCATTAACTGCAAACACACTGAGACAAGATGCTTAAAGATTTTTTAATTCATTTATTACCTGTGCACAAGAGAAGTAACTACCAATAAAAACTCAAAAGATATACAGTATTTTTTACATGGTGGTTAAAAGGAATTAGAATATCACATGACAATGAGTGAAAAGTAATGCTTCCAATTACAAATCATAATACGTGTTAGAATCTCAATGGAACAAGCCAAAAAGCCTTAGAAGCAGGTTCAGAGCACGAGGCAGTGCTCCTTTAATTTGCACAAAGATTAAGGTAATTTACAGTTAATCTTTGTGAATATTGAGACAATGTTACAATGCAAGTTTCTGTACAGTTAGATGTAAAGAGATAACCAGAAGAGCAATTCTAGTATATTTTAAATGAACTTGCCTAAGCATTTCTGCTGAGATGTTTACCAAAGATGCTGGAAGATTCTACACTGAAAACATGTCTTACAACTTTTTTTTCCCCCTGGCTTTTTTTGGTTACTTATAATTTCATTCTATTGCAATGTGTAAATTTCTAGAAATGAGCTGTCTCCGTTGTATATATTGTGTTTATACTTTATACAAATAAAAGCAAAAATGGTAGATTACTCAAGTGGTATAAATCTTACAGCATTTTGCTAGCAAAAAATACATGCCGAAGTCACAATAAGCAGTATCGGTACCCACAAATTATAGCTTCAATTAATTTTGTTTCCTTTTTAATTTGTATTCTACATAAATTACTACTGAAGGCTAATGTGTAAGTCGTAAATAAATTGGACAGTTGTAGGTCAGACAAAACCTGCTCACCCAACTGTGAAAGCGGATATTGTTTCAAAAAATCACAAATAATGCAGAACAAAGAAGTGTGATGCATGCAACAACGGAGTGAAAATGCATTGATTCCCACTGCTTGAAGAAAACTACTGCACTCCACCTTAAAATGCATCGGACTGATTTTAGTTATAACAAGACAATCCCAAGAGTCAGAATGAAATAAAGCAAGTATTTTAAAGATTTAAGAGCTGTTATCAAAAATAAATTACATTTTTTCAAGTTAAAGAAACACTGCTATGAAGGCTGAGAGCCAAGCAGCCTTTCAATAGCTGCATTGATATCTCCTCCTGTTGCTATTAGAGCTTGTAAGTTTGCTTCACGGTTCAAAAAGCCCATTGCACTCAGCTGCTCCAGTTGTTGCTGAAATCTAACTTCTGGATTTTGTAA